TTACAACATGGTACAGTTTCTAGGAGCTCTATGGTAACATGTACGCAGTGAGTTAAGAGCAACATTCCAAGCGAACGGTTTCCCATTATCTGTGTTATTCCAGGGGTAATTCGACCATGGACAATGTGGACAACATGCCCGACATTTGGAGGCAATTCTCAACAGGTGAGTTATAGTCCTATTAGCTGGTGTCAATCACAGCTGACACATGTCGCTCGCACTGTGGGTACCAGTCCTGTCTACATATCCAACGAGCAAGGACCCATGAAATGTCGAGTATGACCTCGGTCAAAGGTCGTGACATCTGAAGTACATGCACGCTGCCATATTGGATTAGGCTATTAATTTTCCACGGAGGGGACATGCGGGACCTCTAACTGAAACTTTATCGTGCCATACATGGGTGACTGCTCTATGTTCCGACACCCCTATGTTTCGACACCCTCATGCTCAGACAACCCGCACATAAGGGTGTGTGCGCTACTCCCGGTAGGGGGTTAGGGTTAAGGTTAGGGTTAGGGTAAGGGTAAGGGTAAGGGTAAGGGTAAGGGTAAGGGTAAGGGTTTGGGTTTGGGATAGGAATATGTGCAGTGGGAACATATATTGGTGTCGGAACATAGTGGTGTCGGAAGACAGGGGTGTCGGAACATAGGTGTGAAACCCTAATTCATTCTTTAGCTTTTGCAGAATAGGCTTTCCTGTAAAATAGGTCATGTTGGTAGCTTAGTTCGAAAACAATTCACCAATGATTTGCATGTAAAATCAATTCTGAAAATACGTTGATATATATTAGTGTTTGATTTCAGTGTTGGGGATGAACTTTCTCCCAAAATGTATCTCCCAGCATGGATTGAGTCAACGAGTACGCCTGTACATTTTGATCCAAAATAGTCTGGAGGTTCCCTAAATGCAATCAAGGGCACACAAAGCTTAAGGGAGTGGATGACCTAGACACGTTTAAAAAAGGCCCTTTGTTGCGTCAATGCTGTGATCATTCATTTGGTTTGAAAAACGAGCCATAAAAAAGGCACTGAAATAATCCATCTCTTTCTTGTCGAGAATGAATATTTTGGCAGACAACTATCGCAGAGTGGGGGGAGTGTGGGAGAAAGAAAAGGCAGAAGTGAAGAAACGATGGTCTGGCGCCGGCGGTGAAAATGTGTGAATGGCGGGCATTATCCGAGGTTGATATGGGTCAGGGCCAGTACAACTATGCTTTTTTTCAACCCATAATGATCGATGGATTTTCAGCTACGACACGACTAGACAACTGCGATATATGCCATTGTGCCTATCCCCACTTAACAAGAGATTCCGATGTCTATTAAAAGCCACTACCAACTCTCCAAAAAAGTTTTACCTCAATACCGGGGGCACAATGGTTCTACGCTTTGAGTTGAGGTTTCTGAACAAAAGCTGTTCAAGGGGTTGACAATATTTATGTGTGCTGATTGTTGTGTGGTTTCTGGCTCTCTGTTGATCCCAGAAAAGGAAAATCACGGTGGGTCGCCGTCCCAGCACAGGTTTGCCTCGATACATACAACACACAACACTCGCTGAGTTGGTCTCAACTGGGTGAATTTGAACGTGGCCAATTGTTGCCTGGGCTGAAAAGGTTAAAGCAAGCGTGACGAGGATCAGTCCTGAAAAGCAAGGGGGATGCTGTGCACAACCGACATGGCCCAGATATCAATAGGGCACGCTGGCACATTCAAACACACAGAAAGCTATAATGGTTGGATGGTTGGACACCAAAACAAAAGAGAAAGTGAAATCAGCCACACGAGAAGCCTTCGCACTTTTGCTTTAAAAGAGAGTAATTATCTCTGAATGGCAGTTGTTGATTGAGTGTGGCATACAACTGATCCGACAGCAGATGTCTACTTGTCCGTGGTAGAAAATGCACCTGGATTTGCAAGCGCTATTGTGGTTTTAACCTAAGTCGGCAACGCTTAACAATTTATACATCACAACATTACCTTATGGAAGCCGCCAACAAAGCATTGTATCATATTAATGTTCAACTGAAAACAGTAACCAAAATTCGCTCCAAAAAGGGTTCGACGAATGCACTTTAACAAACCGCATCAAAAACCTGAGCAGCAAAAGCCAAGATGGCGGATCACATTTTTGATGATTCAAAATACGAGCACCAACCAGGCAATAATCCGAAATAATTTCAACCAAGTTCCTGAAGTATATTTCTGTTGCACGCCACATCAGTCCACCACTGAAATCTCTGATTACCGCAGGTTCTAACTTTACTTCTAAGGCGTTTGCAGTGACCGATACGAGACACGAATGGAGTCTATCCCGTGTCAATTCTTCGTGCTTCCTGGCACTTTCTGTACAATGTAGCAACCGATAGCTGTTGGTCGTAGTCTCCGTTGCGTGGCGGTCTTTTATACTCCCCTAATTGCCGGCATATTGGTCTCAAGTCTCGAACCCACGCCAAATATTGACGGTGTTAACAGGAGAGGAGGCAAGGAAGATTGGTGGACTCATCTTGACTGAGTCATTTCATGGCTGTTTTTTTAAGCGACCAGATATATAAGAAAGATGTGAATGTGACAAGTCTAGGCCCTACAGATGAAATAAAATCCACAACATTCATGTTAATTTGGTGCACATAAAAACCACGTTCGAAGAGAAAGAGACGAAGATCAGAAAAGGTGATATTTGTACCAAGAGGTCCATAAGGGGGGAACCGTGGATAATAATGAATACAAAGGAATCTGCCTTGTAGCTACTCAATGTCCTTGTCTTAAACACATGTATCAACCATGGAGCTAGCTCCATGTATCAACCAAACCTCAATCGCAGGTGTCGTGAGGACCACCCTCATTTAGGGACATCACTCCAGGTGGCTCGGGCCAGGTGTATATAAATAGGACAGGGCTGGGCAGGGAGGGGGGGGGGGGTAGAGGCAACAACTCCTGCCGACTACCTGACCGCAATAGGACTGATAGCTTGACGGACAGACGGACAGTGCAAACAAGAGACCCAGCAGGGAGTAGCAGTGACGGGCATGTGCTTATCGCGCTCTCTGGCCTCCAAGCTAGCTATATGTCCACGACCATCAGCTCGTCAGGGTGGCAAAGCAAAGTTTATCTGACCGACAGGGGGCGGTGTAGCCCACCTGACGAAATCAGGGTCACACTTGTTTTTTAAGGGGGTCTCTCTTTCGATCTCCAGAGGCGTGGCATTAAACAATCTTTGAAAATATGACGAGGTTGTTATTCGAAAAGGTCTTAATTAATTGTGAAGGGCCCACACGTACAGCACAGTTGGGTGTTGCTTGTAACTTAACACTCATTTACAATAGAACTACTTGGGTGTCTACAAATCTTCGACAAATTGAGAGGCTGCCGAAGTGAAGTCTTATCATTGGAGAAACAAAAACAATGGGAATTGAATTGGCGCCAGATGTCTAAACGTCGGGAGATAAAAGTATTTGATTGTCCTTCATCGGTCAAGATGCTCGCCAAAGAGATAAAGAGAGAGTTCGAGAGTCAACAGTTCTTATTAAAATACCAGAGGAGGTTGATGAACGGCAACTTAACGAAACAACTGGATTTCTTGACAGGAATAAAGACTTTTAAAGCTTTGGGAGTTGGATTTGACGGATGAATAAGAACAATATGATACATGGGGAACAGAAAACACACAGTAATAGGCCTCCTGCAAATACTGAGCAAATTGTATAAACACTGTGAAGTAAATACTGACGAGTGGCTTATGAATATGGATACCCAAGTAATTTCTGAATTCAATTGAAGTTATGAAATGTTACCATTACTACATTTTCTGGGATGCATATCAGATCTCGTAGAGCCCTAGGCTTTAGAAATCTCGTTTCTTCATCCGATCTATATTGTTTTTCTTGTTTACGATATGTATGATATGATATAACAAACCTAATCTTACCAAATCTAAGTTACACGGCAATAATTTACAAATCACATTTCTATAAGACTAACGATCGACACCCCCCCCCCCCCAACACGAGGTTTCCGAAACCACGGCTTCGTCTCTTACTCCGTGAACTTGAAAAATGAGGCCAAAGTGAGGATGATTTCCATTTGAATTGCACACGAAAAGTAGTCCGAATGATCCTGAAGCCAGGGATGACGCCCAAGCCGGATAGGAAGCCACGGTTTGAAAAAAGGCCCACACAAGTGATTTTCGGTACGTCGGCTTTACCTCCAGCTTTGGCTCCTGTAGATGTTAGGTCCTATGGGGCTTCAGAACAATAATTATACTGTAGGTCGATTTATCAAAAACTCCATGTTCAGGAACACCAAAGCCTGTAATACCAGGCTAAAATGTTGAGTACTTTGATTCGGTTTGGATAAGAAAAGGCTGAAGATTGATTCTTCAGCCAGAGTCACAGAAAATCCCCCCAAATGATCAACCTTTAAAGGGAATATACATCATTGGCTTTTGCTGTAATTTTCAGAAATTAACTATTTAAGGGGTTAGCATAATAGTTCAAATATTGTTACACTGACATGTTTGAAGTTTTGTGTTTGAAAATGCTGGAAAAACTAAGAAGTAGTCTGGTTCCCTGACCCCACTAAATATAAAATGGATCAATTTACAGATGCCGGAAAATTGTCAGGTAAGGGAACCAGTCTAGCTGGCCTGCACCCGTTTATGAACGTGTAACTAATAGCAACAAAAATTTGGACTGAAAAAAAAGAAGGTAAATTTAGAGCAGTAGTTGAAAAATAGTTAGGTTTTTCCAGGCCGACCACCGTTGGAAATTTTTACAAAAATACCATTTTCTTGAAAATGACTTTCACACCAGGTGTCATAATTTTACAGGATGCTGTAGACAGTCATTTACCAACATCCTGGTAAGGTATTTCGTAAAAACTTCGTAGTTTTATTTTTGGATGTTTGCAAATGTTGTATATTCCCGATTATCTTCAGCCATGAAGTCTGCACTTGTAAGGAAGAAAGAAAAAAAAAACGTCATAAGAGATATCCGAACTTACCTCCTGAGCACACCTCCGAGAAGCGAAGCGTTGAGACACTCGGGAGGAGACAGTCGCCTCTGCACCTCGGCGACCGTGACTTTGTACTTGGAGGTAGAGGAGAGAAGCGACAGGCGACCTGGCACGGTGCAGAACACGTCGTTAGGGGAGGTGACATTGGACACCAGACCGTCCTTGCCGTTCTCGTTCTTCTGTCGAATGCCTGCTGGAAGATGAAAAGAGCGAAGTAGAACGGATATGATTAAAGGTGATTTGAAATCAGTGGAGGATCCCCTGCACATACCTATGCACATCCGGGAAAAAAACACATGGGCGATCGTTGTCTAAAATCTCGCCCAATGTTGGTCAACACGTCAAACGTTTGGGTACATTCCTCCGCTAACTTTATAAACCTTTTACTCGAAGTACACGTAGTCAACAATAATTGACGAATTTTCATAACAATAATGTCGAGTAGAATAGCATTACCAACTTTTTTCTAACCATTTTTTTTTAAAAACAGTGCACAAACTTTGCAGAATGGCGATTGTATGGCATTTTTCTTAACACGCTTAAAATAAAGAGTTGTCGATAATGCACCACGCTGACTATAGCCGAAGTCAATTGTGTACAAATTTGTTTTCCAAGCAAATCTAACGACATTTTATACCGCTTGTTTTTTTTTTGTTTTTTTTGCAAGAGTGCGCAATTCTGAAAGTGATTCTTGTTAAGAATTGTAGGTTAATAGGAAGGGTTGGATATAAGATATGTAAAGAATATGACAGACATCTCGTTAAGATATTAACTTTTTTCTGAATATGAATCAAGCGAAACCAAACCATCATGCCGACGAGTTAAACGCACCGCGTCACCAACACCTACTCGGGATCACAGGCGTCTTATAAACAGCGACCTCATCGGCAGAAGACTTGCATTTTCAACTTTGCGTCGTCAAACGGGGAAAAAAACAGAGCAGATAAAACCGAAGAGAATACAATCCTGACGGAGACAGTTCACAGCGAATATCCAAACGATAATTCGATTGGTCTCACATGAAGAGATTTTTTTTTAAAATCCATTGATCGACCAGCGGTTATATTTACCGAATATCTTGGACGAAATGGCAGTCTTGCGATCAGGACCGTTACGCAGTTCTTGCAGCTCCATGTTATTCAAAACTCGTCTATCACTTTCACAAGAACACCATCATGATATCGAATCCGTGAATGAAAAAGGTAAAAAAAACCCGTCCAGGCTTCGCAGCAAATGACAGGACACGTAATTAACACCGGGATTTGTAAGTGTGTTTTGATTTTATTGTAGCCGCGAAGCCCATCGACCAACGCACTTGTGATGTCAGCTGTACTGGCCGGCACAGACATGAAATCCCCCGCCAACACTGCAAAGGGTTTATTAATAACTCCCTACGCTGGCTAATAGTCGCTTCTGCGTTGGATTCATTGTTTTTTTTCTCCTTCTCCTACCCCTTTGCGAGACCCTGCGCAGTGGGTAAAAGTCCGGGCCATTCAGGATCCTGAGCGCGATCGAACTTGAACATAGACGGGGGTATCTTGATCAGAGTCCCCCGTTGCAAGCATTCTAGCCAGCGGCGCTAATGAGCTGTCCTTCTCCCCGTACTTCTCGGCCACTTGAATTTATTACGTCGGGGCGCTATGGGGGCTGTATAGCGGGATTATTATTAATGATAAAGTGATAGCATTGGCCGGGGCCGCCATGGCTAAAGCCTCTTGCCTTGTACAAAAAAAAAATGTGCCATTGCCGGGGATATCCTTTTCACCAGCCAATGATCTGTTTGCACGGGCCCGCCAGAAAGCAGAAGGGATACCACCTCGGGGGACTCGGCCATACAGAACAGAAAACACTGAAAAACAAGAGCAAAACAAAGCTAGGAAGTGAGGGGGTTTAGAAATATATTCGAGTAAAGGGGGGAAAAAAAGAGGTCGTTGGATTGCCCAAGTCTCCTCTGTTCTCTCTCTTTATTTGCCCACACTGGTGAACTTAGTACGAGCAATTGTTCAGATAAGCCTCCCCTTGAGGCCACAGGTGTAGTATAGTTACTATGTGTGTGTGTTGGGTGGTGGGCACGGCCAACCATGGGCCAACCAACTACCTCCAGCTACTTGGTCTATATCGCGTCCTCTTCATTTACAGCCCCCGACCATTGCTTCTCCTTCCAAGACCTAAATATACCTGGGAGGCTCGAGCAGAGAGAGAAAGAGAAAGAAGAAAAACTTGCCGGAGATTGGCCGCGAAAACCAGCCGGCGCGGAAGACGTTGAACCCGGGCGAACAACAGCGCGAGGCAGGTGACTCGCACGTCTTTAACCCAATTCAAACATGCGCCGCTAGGGCCGTAGGGACGGGTATAGACTGAAACCCTACCTCCCCAAATCCGACGACGGACACGAAATCTAGCGTGCCTAATGCCGTGTTTGACCCCCAGTCCTCCAAAAAAAGAAGAAAAAAGAAAACAAGACAGTGAACTCCCTTCTCTTACGAGTCATTGATGGGGTTGAAAAAAGAAAAGAAAACGACTGAAGCAGAAGACCACACAATGGTGTGGCATGTGCTTCCTATATACCCAAGCCCGCATGCCATTCACCGCTTTTCAATTTCTTCCATAGCTTTGGCCTGACACCTAATAAGGATACATTACAAAATTGGCCATCAAAGGGCCTTGCCGACATTTTGCAGTGCCAAATCACACAGTGGATTATTAACCTATACCCAGATTGATCACAGGGAACGAGGTGGACTGATGACGAAACCAAAGGACGACCGCATCCGCCTTGGTCAATGGAGAACTCCACTGCCTCATTCCCAGGGTCTTTCAGGCTCTTTCACGATATACTGACTCGCCGTCTCGCGCCGAGCGCAATCTACACGGGTTTCTTACTAATTATTAATGTATGTCTGACACACAAGGAAGTTGGGTGTTAATAATAATAGCAGCGACGTGTCAAAGCTACAAACTGGCGAGCGAGAACAGGCCGGATACCATGTCAAAACCAATTACGTTTCTCGTTCACGTCGGCTCGGGCGGTTTGAGATTCGCATAATACAAGCTAGAATGCACGGCAGTGACTCCGTATTATGGTTGGGTATACTATTACACAATGGTATCGAGATCTACATCTTTGTATAAGGCTATTAAATATTTATTCCGTAATGAGAAATGCTCTCCATGTAAAAAAAGAAAGAAAAGTACTCGCGTGTTATATGAGATGTGTTCATTTGTGAGGCAGGGCATCTTAACAATTGGAAGAAATTACATTAAATAATGATGCAAAGTTTTCCCTGTCTAATTTTGCGTTGATGTTCACCGCTACGAAATTTCAGATTGTTCCCGTCCAAGTTCTTGAGGATAATCAATTAAAAAAAAATAGAAAAGAAAGCAATATCATGCATCTCGATGACCTCAACCGCGCGGAATAAGGCAAGTTGTGAATAGAGAGGTTTGGGGTACGTAAATCAATTGTGACCTGCGCGCACGCAGGCACGAGCGAGCGGTTTGGCCACCGTGGTCAGAGTCGCGTATTATACCGCGTCCCGCCGAGGTTGCCTGCCCTTCCCAGCAAACCTTCCCCGCTCCTTTCTTAATTACGGCAAATTTGATACGGCAAGCAAACTTGCCGTGATTAAACTATGAGCGAACACGGAGTGCGCGCTCGTGGGGGGACACGGGAAGGTATATCCCGTAAAGGTTGACGCACAGGTATAAGCAAATAATCTAAACCGCGAACTCCAGTCTCAAATCGATGACTGGCAAATTTGCAGTCCTAGAAGGGACGGGGAGAGTTTGTCCAAAAGCCCGGACTGATATAGACCGGGCATCAGTCGAGCCACTCGCAATGTACGATAGGGGATCGCTCCTTGACACGGGCAGGCGCGATATAAGGTTATGATATTGCCGCTAACGGGCTAGCTACTATTTGCAATTGCAGTAAACTTACACAATTTGCTTGAGTGAGTGAATCTTGACTTTGGCACGTCCATCGAAACAATAAATATGTGGAGAGGTTATACGCCCGAGTCTTTTGCTCGCCACGTGCACCAACATTTAGGAAATTATAGGTGGCACTGCACTTTAATACAAATAATTCCAATCTTTGGTCAACACTCAGGAGCATCGTGAAGCGTGCAGTATTATCGATACTTACGACACGCGTGTACCAAAGTGCAGATAGATCGTGTATATAGGATGTCTAACTGATTGTTTCTTATCACCGACTAGGAATTAATACGCAGAGTACATCGTTGTATATGAGGTCAAGTGAGAGTGGATACCAGCGATTTGAAGATACCAGCGTCAGAGATTGTAAGGTTGGAGTTTAAAATCTGAAATACTAATTTTGCGCCCTAACGTATGCTTGACTTAAATCTTAATGAATATGCGGAACTATCGACATCATGTGCATGCAGCAATATCTAGGGCCGTTGTTGGAAGAAATATCGCGGGTGGTGCATTGCCGACATCCAATTGGCAAACGGGCAAAAATCGGCCACGTTACGAACTGTTCCAACTATCACACAAAAGACGATGAGATTCTAGTTACAGCCGCTTGCCCCACACACTGATGAACTTGAAATTAATGGTTCGCGGGCAATTTATATTAAATGATTTCGCAGTCAAACGCTGTGGCCCATTAGGACGCGCTGCGGCAAATCTGCCGGCCGTTCATTCAGGCCCCTGTAATTGTCGCTCAGTTTTCTGCCAGTAATACAATTTGCCGAGTGACGAACATCAGTCCGATGATTCAATATAAATATGAAAAGTGGCTACACGGGCTGTGGCCGCTTGACTACCCTCCGCTGCGCGGCGCTTATACACGGGGACATCTCCCCGCCATGATACGCTCCCCTAACCAACACGCGCAGATTGGTGGCAATTTTTTTTTTGAGGGGGGGGGGGGGGGTTCAGGAGCAAACCGTAATTATTGCACACGAGCTCGACCTAAACGGTGGAAAATCGGAAGGAAAATTATATAAATACTGGAGCGGTTCCCCGCGGAATGGTTGGTTGAACGGGGGAGAACAAGAAAAAAAAAGGCTTCCCTCGACGGTGGGCCAGCAGAGATCCGAAAACACACACATAGTGAATTGCACACGCTTCATAAGCGATCAAACATCACAACGGCTAATGGCTGAGCAACCCTAGGGGCCCTCCGTGAAAAATTACCTCCACCCAAGCGGAAATTTCTCAAAG